CCCCCCCCCCCGCCCTTCTCTACCTGATTACCCACAAAGCAATTCGGCCAAGGTGCTACCGGCAAGCTGGCCAACTGACCGTCGCACCATCAGTTGTTACGATGTGCTTTCCATTGTTTCGGACGATTTAACCATCGACCGAATCTTGCCTTGACTTCGGCCTTGGACCCGTTTGCCAAATTTCGGTTCAACATATTTGAGGCGTTAATGTAACCCTTGTCACAATCCCGTACAAAGTGTCCCTCACTACCACAGTTCAAACGCCTTGACCCGATCACCCGTCTGTGCCTGTCCTTTTCCTCGACAGACGTAAACCACGCGAAGAAAGGGCAACCATTCACCTGGCTGTTTGTGCGTGGCGACGCGTGAATGTCATAGACTCTCTTAAACTCTCCACATTCGTCCTCGCAATCCATGACCTCCATCGTATCNTTTCGGTTCAACATATTTGAGGCGTTAATGTAACCCTTGTCACAATCCCGTACAAAGTGTCCCTCACTACCACAGTTCAAACGCCTTGACCCGATCACCCGTCTGTGCCTGTCCTTTTCCTCGACAGACGTAAACCACGCGAAGAAAGGGCAACCATTCACCTGGCTGTTTGTGCGTGGCGACGCGTGAATGTCATAGACTCTCTTAAACTCTCCACATTCGTCCTCGCAATCCATGACCTCCATCGTATCCACCCTCCTCCCCCCATATCCACCATCGGACCTGCCAGGAGACGCGGACCGAAAGGTATTCCCCGCCCCTGACCCTGTTCTTCCTCCTCCATCCCCTCTCTGTCCCTGCCCTCCCCCAGATGAACCCTTCACCTGAGCCATCCTTCGCGTCGGAGTCGTTGCCCCCCCCTTGAGCGCCTCAACATTTCGCAATTCATGCATCAAGGTGTCGATGTTATCGAACGGCACCACTCCCAACCCCTTGCCCTTAAACACGGAAGGCGGTCAGGATCGGACACACTCTCTCTGACTGCCAGTTGAATTGTGTTATCCTGCGGCGTCACAATTCCCAAGTTCCACACATTGTGCACCAACCCCTGCAAGGTAGTCAAGTTCTCACTATACGGCGTTCCAGTCGGTACCGCTCTCGTGGTGTTCTCACCCAAAGCCACCATTTGGAGCGGGATAGAGAGTTGAGGGGATGGTGGGCCCAACCTCTTCTTGTTTGACCCTGCTTTCTGTCCCACCACCTGCCATGGGTTGGTTACGCGTTGCATGGATGGTAAGGGAGGAAACTGGTCATCCTCACTGTCTTCGACCAACGACTCTAAGCGATTTCCCGCCAACACTGATTGACCCGACGAGTTACTGAATACAAGCGGGCTAGATTCGTCTCCCTCACAGCTGGATTCAAGTTCAGGTTTTCGGGGTGGCACATCGTTGTCTGCTGCTTCAATCGTGCTTTCCATCTCCCTTGCCAGTTTCTCACTAGTCACTTGTTGTTGTTGTTCCCTCAACAATCTTGCCTTCTCCTCCCCACTCAGACGGATTGCGATTTCTGCGTCTGACTCTGGTTCCTTTCTTCTACTTCCCCCCATATTGGACACCAGACTTTGGAGAGCCTCCACATCACCCCCAAAATGCGAATGTAACAAGTCAAGGATCGCACTCGATGTGTCTCTCACGTTCCCCCCATCCGATGGCTGCCCTCATCCGATGGCTGCTCACCAAGGGACTCTACATCCTCTCCACTACCCTCGTCCGAGGCACTGCCCCCTTCACCACCCTCCTCCACCTGGGGATCAGCCCCCCTCTTGCGATTTTCTTCATCCTTCACGGGCCCTTAGTCTCCCCCATTACCTGACGTACGATAAAAAAAATGACCCGCGCCAGGTGTCGGTGACCTTCTGTTTCTGCGCATTTCGCTTGTTCGACGTGAGTAGTATTCCTCCCCACCTCTCTTACTTCATGGCGCTAACACCTGAAACCCTGGAATTGCCATTGCCTCCATTGCCATCCTCTGATCTGCGCTGAGGCGCCTTGCCCCTGCCCCCGAGCCTTTGGTCAGACTCCTTCCCCGACTCGCAGACACATGACTCGCCCACATCTCTCTGCCCCGATGTCCCGTCATCTGCGTCAGCCCTTTTGCTAGACTTGAAGACACACCTTTTTCCAAGTCATACACCGTCGTTCCACCCTTTTGCTTCACACTTTCCCCCCCAGCGTGCGCAATACCCTCACAACCCCAATTGCCCTCAGGCCTTCCACCCTTTCCCCCAGAGACCTCACCCTCTGTCCGTTGTGCATCCTCGGATGTCTGCTGTACACTCTTAGCACTTCCCTTGTCTGACGTGAGTCTCCAACTTCGACGTCTCCACCCGACCTCTTTTTCCCTTCCTCCCGAGGTCTCTCTGTCAACACTTCCCCTTTCACTGACAACGTTTAGCCGCCAACTCACAGACGGTACACCCCACACGAACCACACAGCTACGCAGACCACACGACGATGGATAAATTTGTCTCCTCTGGCAGTTCGTCGTCTGCTGCAGACCCGGCAGTGTTGCTGATGATGCAGGGGCTGCTGTGTCAGCACGAGCTGGTTCGTTTGTTGCGCCCCTTTTCCCGGCGTTTCTGCTTTTGTTTTGTTTTCTAGATATGTAATTTTCTTGATTTGTTTGTTGTTTGCACAGCAGGTAGAAGCACTCTGGCTGGTGGTTTATTCTTGGTTTCTTGGTTACGTTCAGGGCTGCCGTGTCGTTGTTTTCTTGTTTTCTCTTTGCGAGAGGCTTCCTGTGACTTTCTGCTTCGTTGCTTGCATTTTTTGTTTCTCCAACCGTTGGGTTTGGTGGAACGATGGAACATGAACGCCATTCACAATTCATCATGCTAGACATTTCAACTCGTGTGCATGCATACATACGTCTCCCACGATCTTGGAGTTTATGGGCATTATAAAATTTGAAAATTGTGCCACATTTCCTCGTGCCGAAAACCAATACACTTCGGCGTTGTACCCCAAGTTTCTATCGTTTTTCCCGCGATATGCCTCGATCAGATGGCCCAAAATCACCCAAAAAAATGCTGATTGTGAAGCCAAATCGCGTGAAAAAGCGCCTCCGGCGGGGCGCCTCGAGCGGGGCCCCTCACCAACCGGGGGGCCGATGGTCGCGGCTGCGCCGCGACCACGCGGCTTCGCCACGGGACCAGTATTCTGGATCCTGCAGTATGCTTGGGGTACGTACTTGGAAATGAGTCCGTTCTATACATCCTCTTTTGGATACGTGTGTGGGACGTATGGGTGTGATGGGTATATACGCGGTTAGGGTCCAAGTGCGCCCCCCCCGAGAAAGTACACGGTGGTGTGCTCCTGACACTTGCCTGAGGTGCTTGTTGCGTGTAGGATGCCACTCGCCTGAGGGCAGGCACTCCATGTCGTATGTAGGGTGATCAGCTTGCCTGAGGGGCTTGCGTGTCGGTTACTAATAAATGGTCATCTTCTTCATCTGCTGTTCCTGGGATAACATAGTATCCAGTCTCGACACCAGCTGCTGAGGGCAGCAGAGCGCCTCGAACACGAGCGATCGATGAGAGCCTAGCTAAACCAGGTGTAGGTTCGGTGATGTCTGAAAGAGAGAAGGAGTCGAAAGAAAGATTGAAGAACGTGGAGAAGGAGATTCAGAGGAGAGCGGAGGAAGCCGCGAGAAGAAGAAGAGTGGGTGATGCCGGTTACACGGCTGATAGCTGTAGTGTGGGTGACTGCGGTTACGCGGCAAGAAGGATAGCGGAGTACAAGAGGAGAATGGACGAAGCAGCACAGAGGTGTTCAGCGGAGGAAGCCACGAGGGAGAGAGTGGGCGATGCCGAGTATACGGCTGATTTTTGGGGGGCGGCGAGAATAGCCCGTCCCAACGACTTAATTGTCAGAGAGAGAGAGGGGAAGAAGCCCCATGTGCATGGCGGATACCAGCGACAGGTGAGAAGCGGTGTGCAGCAGAACAGCTGCCACAACCACGTCCTTAGGGGCACTGCCAGTATCAGTACCAGCAGCAGTTGGTGATTAACGAACGCTCTCCCGCTGCTCCTCCTCCGGCTGCACAGCTGCAGCAGCAGCGTTGTACTACTGCTGCAGCACGTTGCCAGTACACCCCCTAGTGGCAGCAGGAGCAGTGCGTGCAGGAGAGGTTCATGCCACCACAACCGGTACAGCAGCAACCCGTGCCCCAGCAATGTCGCCGGTAGCAACAGCCCCTACCGCAGCAGTCTCGTCAACAACAGCAACATCCTGCAACGGCGCTCCGGGCCCTACAGCTCCAGCCCTCACCCGAGGACCGTTTCAGCAGCAGCGGAGGACCGACGGGAGCAGCGGCGATGGCGGTGGTGACAGCTACGGGAACGGACCGGCAGTGCAGTATCTGCCCGTTTCGGTGTCTCTTCACCTCAACAGTCTGCAGCAGGAGTACTTCCACAGCTTCGGTATCGCAGTACAACATCTGGATGTCGCGTCATTGGAGTACCTGGCCAGCTGGGGGATCGGGTCGATGGTGCAGCACCCGCCTGTTCCTACGTCTCTTCCGCAGAACTCAACGAGGTGCAGCGGGAATATGGAGCAGTTGCAGTGCAGTGTCTGGATCACTCGACTTTGGAATACTTGGCCAGATGATCAAGAAGGAGTGCAGCCGTGGCAGTATTTAGGCGGAAAATGCTACGACCGTGTGCCACAGCAACAGCAGCAGCAGCAAGGATACAAGGGAGATTACCAACGAGAATATGGCCACCAGCAACCGCAACAGCCGCAGTTCCAGCAGCAGCGGCAGCGTCAGGAGCCGCCACGGCAGCAGCAGGAAGGTACCACGTGGGGGAATGGTGGAGGTCTCCCGGAGCAGCAGCTCGTTTTAGCTCCCGGCGTGAGCACACAGGCAAAGGCAGCAGCAGCAGCGGCGTCCCCGATCGCCGCGTTGGCATCGGGTATCCAGACGACCGCAGCGGCGGCGGCGGCGGTAATATCGGCAGTATCGGTAGTATTGGCGGCGGCGCGAACGGTTTCGGCCGGAGCGCCGTCCCTGACAGCGGCATCGGCAGGAGCGGCGGTGGCGCGGACGGTTTCGGCCGGAGCACTGTCCCCGACCGCAACGGCAGCGGCGGCGACATCGGTGACGGGGGGAACGGCAGCGGCAGCAACAGCAGCGGTGTCCCCGGTCGCCGCGTTGGTGTCGGGTGTCCAGACGACAGCAGCAGCGGCGGCAGCGGCGGCACGGCCGTATGTGACGACGAGTTCGAGGAAGCGGTTGGTTCGACAACCACACCATCACCAGTCCACACGTGTTGCGGCCTATGGAAAAATTGCCATTTTTTTCTTTACGGACATTACTGATCCTGGAATCATATCCCGAGGCAGTCTTTCCGCGAGGGACTTTTAGTTATTCTGCTACAACTCTCGTTGTGGTGCTGATCCCAAATCGTGCACATCATCTATGCGCTGCCCACATGTAAAGACGCACACATGATTGTCAGGTTTGGTTAAGGTTAGGTACCAGGCCAACGGCGTCTTAGGTCCGTTGCGTGCTTCCATGGCTTGGATTGCGATGACATTTTTGGAGGTAGGCTCATGATCGTTCTGAAAGCCTCTCTCCTGACTACTGGAGTTAGAGTTGAATTTGGGCCTACTTTCGCAGGCCCACTGCGATCGCTGTAGGGGAGATCCCTAATCGTGCACACTATGCGTTCGTTCGATGGTGTTTCATCCTTGCCATGGCCAAGTATCGGCCGAATTGGGAGACTGTAGTGTCCAGGCCACCACAGGTGAAATTTTGGCTTACAAGAGCTGACAAGGTTGCGCGCAGCAGCAGAGAGCTGGTTCAACCCAGGTGTAATCGTGAGGCATTTCTCGCGTCTAAAGCAAAATCGAAGAGTAAAAACAGCTTTCCGGTAGAGGGTATGACCTGCCTGGGATGCCCAAGTACTTGGGTGGCACAGCGAGGTCTGTGTGAGGAGCACGAGGTGGTGAAAGAACTGGGCTCAGCCATGTCCAAAGTGGGGTGTACTCATACTCATATTCGTGCATGCCGTAGTCGTTAGACCATTGACCTCGCATCCCTACAAAGCCGGGACGGAGCACGCCGGGTTCTCACCGGACCAGGCTCTCACATCACCAAGCGCGAAGCGCCGTGAGATATTCGGCGAGTCGCATGAAGGGTGCGCTGCATCCTGCTAAGGGTTTTCGGCATCTTGTGCTTACTTCCTTGCGTACGGATGACAGCTGCGTATGACTTAATTTATTTTCTGGTGCTTTCACTTCCAGAGACAGTTGTAAGCACTGTGTAACTGCCTCGAGGGTGCTTGACCATTTTAACACAACGTGGTGCGATCATCCCCCTTGCGCGGAGCGAGTGTTCTCCACCCCGCATAACATGATCTACTCGACCACCATTATGGTTACCGCCAAAAAAAAAACCGGAGGTAAAAAAAAAAAAGTTCAAAGTGGGGAGGGAATGAAACAATATTGACCCTGCTGAAACCAGCGGCGTGATTTTTTGTCCGTACTTTTTTTCAATTTCTTATAGGCGGCAACACGTGTGCAGTCCTGGAGGAGGTTGGTAGCCAGTTTGCTGGGGGGGACGTGAGCAACAGCAGCACTAGCGGCAGCTGTAGCAACAGCGGCGAGGACAGCGGCGGCGATGGGGGGGGGGCGAGGGGTTGGATGAAACTTGGAGTGGAACCCCGACGCACCCTTTTGACCCCGGAAAGACTGAGGAGGAAGGGAGCAGCAGCGGCGGCGGCGGCAGCAGTAGCAGCAGCGAGGAAAGCGGCAGTGATGGGAGCGGGGACGAGGGGTTGGATGAAACCTGGAGTGGAGCCCCGACGCACCCCTTCGACCCCGGTAAGACATCTTCGCGTGGCCCGAGGAGACGGCGGGCGGTACCAGGGATAACATACCCCTTCGATAGGGGCAGGAACGGGAGTGGCAGCTCCGGCGGCGGCACCGGCGGCAGCAGCAGCAGCGACGGGAGTGGCGGCTTCGGCCAGAGGTCCGACGGCAGCAGCAGACGGCAGAGGCGGCTTCGGCCAGAGCCCCGTTGGCGGCAGCGGCGACAACGGTGGCGGTCGTAGAGGCGGCAGCAGCGACGTCATCGGCAGCCGTGTTGGCGCCGGACCTCATGGCGGTCGTGGCAGTGGGGGAACGGTAACGGCGGCGATGGCAGCGGCGGAAGCAGCGGCGGCGCCCTCGAGTCGACCAGGGACGGGGAGGACATGGTGGCAGCGACAACCTCAACTTGGTACAACCAAGTGGGAGGACATTTGAAACGTTTGCGAGTTTGTTCGATTTTGTGAGCAGACATGGACGTTCTAGCGTCGCCGGTTTCGCATTCATCTTTTTGTTCTGTTTTTCCCTTGCTAGCGCACCGTTCGATTTGATGCAGAAAACACATGTGTACCACAGCGTGTGCGTAATTTTTGAACTTGTTTTCATGATAACTGCACGCTGCGACAACATAACATTGCCACAACACGTGGAATAGGAAGCAGCACGTGGGTCATACATATTTTGTTGTCTTTGGTTCTTCGTGTATTTTCAGTCGCGTTTTACCTTGCCGCTGAGTTCCAGTTGAGGAGAATTGTTTGCATACGGTACGAACTTTTTCTGGAGTTTGATGCCCTGTGTGTTGCGTGTTGTCATGTTTTTGGTTTGCATCGATTTTTTGCTACTCTTGCATAAAAAATCATGGGGGGGAATGTCATGTATCACCATGATTCTAGAATGCACGAGCAGCAATCGAATTGGTTTATTTTCTGGTCTTGTCCATTTGTGTTTTAGGTGGACGTCAAAGCACGGGGGCTGTTGGCATCGAGATATTAGCTCGGGGTGATTTTTCGGAGCTGTCAGCAGGGGGCTGTTTGCATGGATGCTGGCTTTGTTTTGTACCGTTTCTTGGACAATGGCGATGGCGCCGATTGGCGGGTGCGCGTTGTTTAGGATTTGGTCCTTGGACACTATGTTGGAGGAAGGGTTTGAAGTGTTTTGTCGATTAATGGTTAGGGCCGTTGTGCTTTCCGAATTCTCGTTTCGATTGGTCAAGAAGTTGAGTTTTTTGTTTGTTTGAGGATTTGGTGACAACTCTTCTGAAGTTGTTTTTCCAGAAATATCCGTTTTCGTTCTACGCTTTTCTGATGTAGCACAAATAATTTTGTCGGGTACTTTTCTGAGGATGATTCTTTTGTGACAACGGTTTGAGATTATTTCCAGGGACGAACGGGTTGGATTCATGAATACTGATGGAGACGCTTTGTGTTGAATGCGTAGCCAGTTTTGTTTGATATGTTTTCTCAAGGGGTGTTTGTCTGTGTTGGCTGATTACGCGTGAAGGGTTGCAAGATCGTACATCGTACAAGGTTTCCCTGCGGGAGGTAGGTGATTTGCCTCCCGGGGGCGACGCAAGAGGACATGGCCAATCAATGCCATCGCGGTCGCACGGTTGGTCTTTATAACGTTCGGTAGTGCCGGCTTGAGTGCAACCTGCACTTATACAATTTGCCTGGAATTTGGATCATATGTACGGGGATTTGTTTTCTCCCGCCGTGACGTTCCCTTGTGCGCGAGTGAGTGGTTTTGGCTGGCGGTTTGCTGCAGGTCCTACTGCTGTCGTCCGCTGCGTTTGATCACTTTCGCTTCTTGTGTGATCGTGTTTCCCATGGTCTGTGGGCCTTTCTCACGTATACACCAACAACAACGGATCAAAGAGACGTTCAACGTGCTCAAGAACAGTCACAGATAGATGTAGACTGCTGACCGTACCAAACTTCAATATATGACCTTCTTCGATTTTTCGGAACTGAAATGTACAAACTTTTGTACCGCTGTCAGAGTTGTGCGAGGGGACTTCTGTATCGCGTGGTGTGTTCCCATGAGCATCAAGAGTCTTGATCCCCGCTATGGGTACACATGCACCAGTTGCCGTGTGGTGGTTTGTATGCACAACAATCACAGCAGCAGGTGTGTGGGCGCGTGGGCGCGTGGCGCGTGGCGCGGGGTGAAAAAAAGTTTTCTTTCAGTTTTCGTGCCGTTCGAGGAGGCTTTCATGGCTCGGATTCCCAACCCCTGAAAAAAGAGCCAGTCCCAGCGACTTTAGGCGTCCCTAACGCGCACCACCGGTGTATCGCGAGCCCCACACGTAACGGGTCATGCATCGACGGGTCCCCTGTGTGCCATGCAGAAGAAAGTGCGAGAAAAAACGCTGTCCCAGCGGAGAAAAACGACTGCGAAGAGCAAAAAAAGTCGAAATCCTCCATAATTGTATGCATATCAAGTAGGGGGGTTGTTTGTGGCAATTGGATATGAGTCCGATGCAGTGCATTAGGGAACCTCTGCATTAGGGACCGTTTCCCAGAAAAAAGCAAGGGGAACATCTGCACCAGGGAACCTCACCGCCCCCATCGTTGGCGAACCGCTGCGTTAGGGGACCTCGACCTAAAGTTGCCAGGGGAACCCCACACAAATGGGGATACGATTTCGTATTCAACAGTCACTGCGTTAGGGAACCTCACCCCAGAGTTGGCAGCGCGTTAGGGTCTAGGGTTTAGGGCTGGTGACCAAACGTTACCCATTTACAGCATCTGATAATCAAAGCATACAGCAATCACAGCTGCACCTACTTACTACACACATCCCTAATGCATATTTTCCCTTACGCAGTGGCTGTCAAATACGAAATCGTATCCCCCATTTTTGTGGGGTTCCACTGGCAATTCAAGGTTGAGGTTCCCTGATGCAGAAGTTCCCTTACGCAGTGGCTATTGAATACGAAATCGTATCCACATATGTGTGGGGTTCCCCTGGCAACTTTAGGTTGAGGTCCCCTAACGCAGCGGTTCTCCAACGATGGGGGCGGTGAGGTTCCCTGGTGCAGAGGTTTCCCTTGCCTTTTCTGGGCAACGGTCCCCTAATGCAGAGGTTCCCTAATGCATTGCACCGATCTGTGCATCCTCTGTGGAGGATACGCGTATGGGTGTGATGAGTATGTATGCGGTCGGGGTCCAAGCGCGCCCCCCCCGAGAGAGCACACAACGGTGGTGTGCTCCTGGCACTTGCCTGAGGGGCTTGTTGCGTGTAGGATACCACTCGCCTGAGCGCGAGCACTCCATGTCGTAGGTAGTGTGACCAGCGTGCCTGGGGGCTTACGTGTCGGTTAATAGTACATGGGCCTATTCTTCATCTGGAATAAGATAGTACCCAGTCTCGACACCAGCCGCCGAGGGCGGTAGAGCGCCTCGAACACCGGACGGTGGCAGTGCCTCACTTTTTTGCATTTACAGAACGGGCCCGGAGATAAGAAACGTGAAAATCGGGTCGAGCCTCAATTTCTTATTTTCGTGCGAAGGGCCAGCCGAAGTCGGCCAATTTCTTGATACGGATTTCTTAATTCCTTGGGGCTGTCGCATCATCCTGCTGCTCTTATACTGCTTATTTTTTTGTTTCTAGCGAAGAAACCAACAACACAGCAAGCCTTTCCACATAGCCCAAGACCAGTTTGAATCGGGGCTAGACCTATACTACTTGCACAAACAAATTAAAATCGGCCCGAAAACGACAACAATGGATGCAGGCATCTACCCTGATAACGAATTGAAATTTGCACACACCCGATTCTTCCCAAAATACGAGCACTGGTAGGGTTTTGGCCGTGGACTTGTCCGTGTTGGCGGGGACGGGGTGCACTGTATTGTCTTATGTGAGCACTAGACTATACCAACTTATTGAGGCCTTCCAGTATCATTGTCTAGGGAGGTAGTCTAGAGTCAAATTAGCCGGTGAAAAACATGTTTTAACCAGGAAAATATGAACACGGGGCCAAGAAACACAGCTCAGTCTCGACCACAATATAATAAACATTCCAACAATATACAGAATCGTGCGACGTCCCCAAGACGTAAGAAACAAGGGGAAGCTGGAAGAGCGTTTTCGTTTTCCAACTTCTCCTTCTGTTGCTCCTACCCCTAGCTGGAGGGCAATGTTTGTTTGCCCTGGTGGCAAGGGTGCCCGAACGTTTTATATTGCACACCTAGGAACATACCCATTTTTTCTTATTCGGGAGGATTTTGGGGGGGGTGAGGTGACGAACTGACCATCCCCCCAACCACAGACTATTCCTATGTGTAGTCATACCGTACTAATTCCTACAATTATAGGGACACCGTGTTCTATGGGGGGCTATTGTGCATCTGCGTGGCCCCTAGCCGTGTGCGCTCGTGCGCGCTCGCCGCGCCTGTGCGCGTACCTCCTAGACGACGAGAGGGAGAGCATGATCAGGGCACCCTCAGCGGGGTCGTAGGCCGAGCCCAGGCTGTTGCGGCGGAAGACTATGGCCAAAAATGTGCTCGGCATGCAATACAAGTAGACTCGGAGTCCAGCAAAGAGGGGGGGGGAGAGGGCAGTGAGGGAGAGGGAGAGAGGGAGGGAGGAGTCGCGGGTTTCGGGCGAGAAGACAAGGGGAAAGAAGGAAGACGGGGGGAAGGGGGAAAGAAGGAGAAGGAATAGAGGAGCCGGATGTACGCCCGAGGGGGCGTAAACACACACAGGAACGGCGTTTTGGTTGGCGTAGTTTTGGGTGCGAGAATGTCGGAACGCGCCCAGACGGAACGATAGGAGTTTACAACACTCTCATGTAACAAATCACGAGCTCCAATATGACACATATTCCGCGGTTTCCGTCGAGCATTGGAGTTCTTGGTTCACGCACATCGAGGCGCGGTGCTCGTTCAGGCCATTAGTTTCACTCAACAATGTGAGGATGGATGGATAAATGTGGTGTGGATGATGTTGGATTTTTATGGTATGATATGCGTCTTTAGCGCCGGCGTTGAAGGCGGCGCATCTTAGCACCACGCCAGTTCTTCATCTGTATACGACGGGTTCAGCAGGTTTGACGTGCACTACTGAATGCATACGACGAAAATCAACACAAAACATGGAGATCGTTTTTTTTACCCTCCCGGGGGGGTACCTAGGTGTGCAGAGTAAAGTTCTTTCGGGCATCCTTTGTTGTGGGGGAGACTCGTGTTTTCGCGGCGCCCCCCCGCGCCCCCTCGCACCGCCGCGGGTTGGACTGATCACTGGTGCGAACTGCTGGGCGTCGCGGACCACTACACGCTGTCTGCTGGACTGGGTTGATAGCACTCTCCGCCGCCTCTGGTGGAGGCTTGCTTGTTGGTCCTTGGAGATCACTTAGCCAGACAAGAAAACAGCGTACGAAGAAACTATCAGGAAGCGATAGCTCCGAAAAAGTACAACCATTTGAAGGAAATGGGCGACTTGGGCTGGTCCGACGACCCAAACTAAGGAATTGAGGCTTTACCGGATATCTTGACGTTTCTTTACTCCGGGTCCGTAAATCAAGAAACCTCATGGGAAACTTAAGCAGCTCCTCAGCAGATGTTCCGTAGATCAGGCAAAATTGGCAGTAACCAAACAACCTACTGCACGTATGGAACAGAGATAATGGACTGCCGTCTTGTCGGAGACGATGGGAACCTCCAAGTCCTGAAGATCGGACGAGACATCGTGCGCATTTTGTGTATGCTTGAAGCGCACACCTCGCCTTTCCTCGCAGAACAATGGTGATTTCCGAGGTGCTCCCAACGGATGCCGTTCGTCGGGGCCTGCAGGAAGGGCAGATATCCGAAGTACACCCAACGCCGACACAAATACAAGGCCCGCACACTACAATTGTAGCTGAAATGGGCTACAAGACGGCGCACCACACCCTCCAAATATATTTCCTCATTTCGAGGTGGCGCCGGCTTGAATCCGAACGTTTAGACTATATCATGTCCAGACCAGACGATGGAGAATCGTAGCACCGTCCACGGATGGATACCAGGACTATGTCGTGTTCACCTCAGGGACCATCCTGCAACTACTCAAGATCCACCAGTTGGAGGTTCGAGGATACACTGTCCAGAACCAAGCTCCGGCGGCAACGAGCCGGAACAGAAAACGACTCGTGAAGAACGTGCGGCACGTAATCACATCCACAACACTTGTCAAGAAGACCGTTCGTCAGAAGTCAACATCCGTAGTATTGACCAGTATGTGCAGCAATCTTTCAGCATGCCAAACCTACCGCGTCATACCTTCGTTCGCAACACATCACAGCATAGCTTCTGTCCTGTGTTAATGGTCCGGCGATATCGACCCTCATCAATCCCTCGCTGCTGCCTGCTTCTCGAACACTTATCGGCAATAACGACGGAGTTTGCTCGTGACTCCAAGTACGTCGAGCTCAAGGAGGAAAAATTGAAAGCCGGTGTCATCGACATGGACCTCGGGATCACGAGGAAGTTTCAGTGTGCTGGTGTATGCTGTCGCCGTCGCTGCTGCTGTGGTCGCTCTTGCGCTTCTTGGAGTTCGGCTGGTTCATTTCGTCAAGTGGACGCGAATGCTTATCATGCGACGGTCACTTCGACGAAGGGGGCGAACAAGTCGGGGGATCAGGCATAAGACAGGTACTCAAAAAGGGGGTCCGATACGAGAGACACGCCATCGAGTTTAGAGAAGAGCCAAACTTCACCCACACACACCCCAAGGGAGGTAGTAGACATGCACTCATGAGTGGCGTCATCTGAGTGGCCGATACGTTGGGGGATGGCTTTCCCACAACAATAGAATCAGATCGAATGAAAACGAGTGGGCAGGCCCAGCTGAGGATATTTGGTCGAACGGGTCTCAGCCGATCATTCATGCACGACCCGCCGACCCGCTGGAGGAGCAGAGGCGTCCTACGGATCAGTGGTGCATTTAGCCAATGTTCCGGGAAGGTCTATCGCACAGGGGTGGAGGAGCAGAGGCGTCCTACGGATCAATGGTGCATTTAGCCAATGTTCCGGGAAGGTCTATCACACAGGGGTGCAGGGGATACATATCGTGTACCATGAGGATTGCTTGAGCCTCACCATAAAAAAATCCTTCCAGCGCCCCAAAGAATGCCAAACCCTCAAAACCAGATGGCTTTTTTGGAATCCCTGACGTGACAGGTGCGTACGCCCCACCTGCGGATGTTCGGAAACTATTACTACATCATCATGACATAAACATCATTAACAGAAAAGGTAGAGGTTTCGTGTATTTCAATTATGATGCTGTAATCCAGACTCTGCCTATAGCATACGCCGCTATGCTCGCGATCGTCGGTAGAATTGTTCGGTGTTTGTTCCTGCGGTACACACGCCGATGTGATTGTCAGCCGCCTCACCGCTACACTTGTTGGCTGTTTCACGCCTTTGTCCAGCAATTATTGCGCAGGCAGTTGGCCTCATGACGAAATTCTTGCACAGACACGCTGATGTTGTCCCCGCAGAAGGTTTGCGCTGTGTTGGCTGGTACACGCCGTGTCGGTAAATGTTGTAGAACCACACGCTGATGTGGTTTCCGCGGTTTCAGCCCCCCTTGGTGGCTGCTACACACGGCTATGCATCTATTGCACAAATAGTTGTACTCACGATGTGACTGCTGCATTTCCACACGCGGATGAGGTTATCCATCGTTTCACAGCTATTGTCGCTGTGATGAACCGGTGTCGTTGCGGCGGGCCGCTGCCGGTGTCCTGCCGCTACGTCTCATTGGCTGTACACGCCGTTGTACCACTACGCCATTACAATTACGTCATCGCCGACCCCCTTTTGCTCCGGAATTACGATACCCAACATTGCACACGCTGTTGTGCTCGCTCCGTGGCTGCTTACCTCCTTTTCTCTAAAGATGAATATCCTGAGGTTCATCGTTCGTTCTTAGCGCTGCCCTTACCACAATACCGGCTGGGGTCTGTCCTTGGTAGACACAATGTTACATGGGCTTGCCGGTACGTGTTTCGTCTCTTCGGGATCTTCTTCTTGCCTGCTGCCTCATGCCCTTACGTTCTTTGGGTTCCGGTATTCTTGCCTTGTACCTGATGTTGTTCGCGGATAATATACATAACATCTCACCTCACCCGCATCGCATGCGGCCGCGTTGGAGGTATCCCTCCCAACTAGGGAATGTCTGGGCGCCCGTCACTTGCTGTCTTGTATCTCATGTAGCTTGTGCCTCAAACATGTGCCACATATGGCCGTTCGGTGGTGCCTTTTCCTTTGGGATTTCGTGCCCTACGTCCACACCACACAAATATATGTCATTCGGTGGTGCCTTTTCCCCTTGAGGGTGCGTGTCCAACGCGCACACAATACAATCACATAATAATCAATAGTACTCGTTCGGGTTGTTTTATGTAAACACCACATGGTCGCATGCCGAATTAGTTCCTGTGCCTCTCGCGTACTGACGTACCTCGTGGCGCACGCCCAACTAACACCAAACCATATGCACACCAACCGCCGTAGCTAGCACTCCCGTCTGTGAGTAGGTAGACTTACACTCGGATATGCCCAGTGAGACGTTGTGTTAGTTGGTCCGTGCGCTGTCATGTTTTCTTGACGGTACGCCTGGATACACAGCATCCAATCGACGTTTGCTTCGTTACGTAATTTCACACGCGGCCATACAATTTGGGCCCCGAAAAGGAAATATACCAAATAGTATATACATAGAATTCTGTGTGCCTTTTTATGTTGACGGGAACCCGTGCTGTCAGTTCTCAGCGCCCAAGTGTCTTCTTTGAAAAAAAAAAGGGGGGGGAGGATCTCCACAGTTCCTGTCATTCAAGAAGTGCGAGTTTTGGGCCAGTCACGGCCTTTCAATACTTCGACATAACCTGCGATTCGGACACGATGATGTTCCGGATTCTCCAGAAAATGCTCAACAAGCCACGTGCCATACTACGAACTGCTCTCGCCGATGGATGCTTGGCGAACGCCGCAACGCATTGCGGGCAAGTGCATGACCATGACTGTGGAGGTCCGACCGGCGTTACTTTGGACGCATGCGAGGTTGCCGTCCTTTCCAGATGGTCAAAACTAACCAAAGTCGGGTCGATCTGGCATGTGACGCTAACGCGCATCTGCGGGAAGAGTTCCGAAAGCGGCTTTCTCTGGCGGTTTCCTCGCACGAAGGGCCCTGACAGCGAGCAAGCCACCGTCATCGTCAAACTTGACGCATCATCGGAGGCGTCTTCCCTAGGCTGGGTTGACGTTGTCAACATCGGGGGAGCCCAGTACCGTGCTGGCGGTGTGATCCCAACTGATTGGCTGCACAATCACTTCAACAAGGAGGTGCTTGCGTTGTACCAGTTGTCGCATCTCTTTCTGTGTGCGCTTTGCGACTAACTTGCAGCGGGCTCAAGGGTTTATCGACGTCGTTAACACTGCGGTGTATGGATCGTTCAACCGGGGTGGGCAGACAACCCGGAAACTCATGCATGATTTGTTCGTTTGTTGGAGCTACAGGTCGAGTACCGTTGGCTGCCAGTGCCGTCGCTGATGGTATATCTCTGCCCTGGCGCGAAAGTATTATTCGGCTAAACCCCGAGGGTTTTCCGAGCTCTCTGAGAGAATGTTTAGCTGGTCACCGTTGCTCTCATGGCTTCGACGACCGAACAACGTTGTTGCTGAACGAAGGCCTCGGACCAAGACGCGTTCGAATACCTTTGATTCTTGGGCACACGACGTAGAGGCACCAAGTAGGTGCACGGCAGAGCATGCTTTGGCGTATAGACTAGGTACGATACATTTCCGCGTATGCCTTCCAGTTTCGCAATGCGCTAACAGTACGCAACCGCGTCGATGCAGAAAGGGATCGTGTCCACGTTGAAGATGGCGATCCAACAGCAGTTGGGGCAAGGCGGCAGCTGGGACCCTGTCACGCGGTCGGGCAACTCGTGTCGTAGTCCTCTCGTAGACTCCTACGTTATGTTTACGGGAAAGGAACAGAAGCTGTGTCAACCACGCAGAGGCCATGTTGCCGCATGTCCTCTTCGACTTCTTGAGGGGCATGCGCTTTCGGGCACAAATTCGTCGCCTTTGGTGGTACGCATTGAGCCTACCAGGGACGTCGCTTTGTTCTCGCTGGCGTTCGCGACCACGACGACCTCTCCTTCACGATGAGATCGCAGATTCTGCGGCTGCCAGCGGGGGAGGGTCTTGTCTTCAATTTCCAGTTTGGTAGGACCCTCCATGACTCCGTAGACGCCGTGGTTGCGGGCGCGGACGTCACGGACTGCCACACCACTACACGATGTCTTCCTTGCGGGACGGGGGTTATGTGGCACGGTTGCTGGATGGACCTGCGATCGCTGTTATCATGAAAATTGCCGGGCGGCGTACCGAGAGCGTCGCACTTGGCGCCTACTGGCGTAGGAACGGCGGGTTCCAAGACGAGCCGTAGCGAGTACTACCCTGACTAATACACGTTGCCGATTGTCGGCCGGTGTGCGCGCCGGGGAAATAAGAAAGTTTGGGTGGAGAGAGACCTACCTTAGAGGCTTGTGTGGTCAAAGCAATATATGGTAGATCAGACAATCAACAGGAAAGTAATGGTGGGACCACAGGTCGGTGCAGGAGGTCTCACCCACCCCAATGATCTAGGGAAGGGACAAGAATACAACAGAAAATACCAACATGGTAATATATGGAGGGGAAACCCGGCGTCCGGGCAAAACCCCTCCAAAAAAACCCTTACCACCACAAAACCCGTCGCTATCACAGCGGATCACCACGGCCGCACATGTCAGAAAGGCCAAGGCGAAGACAAGAACGCGGGGAACTACGTTCCCCCGGACGATGGTCTCCCAACGCCCCCTACTCCTGCCATTGGTACACAGACCGCAACAGTTATGCGCCTTTCCCCGCATGGAAAACATGACCTCTCCCAAGTGCTAGAAACTGCTGCAACTACTTCGGCAAATTCATCAACTTGCGCCGGTGGTACTGCAGACTAGCCCTGCTAAGGGCCTTGGTTAGGAGGTCCGCGTGCTGCCCCGTTGTCGGAACCAACTTGGCCGAAATATCCCCCGACCTAAACAATCGGCGGATGAAATGAAATCTCAAGTCGATGTGTTTCGTGCGACTTGAGCTGAGGGGGTTCTGCACCACCGCTATGGCCCCCTGGTTGTCCTCAAGGACCTGGATGTTGCTACCACTGGTCTCTGGGGCAACAAACGAAAGCGCAGCACGCACAAACAACGCCTCCTTGACGCCCTCCCCGGCAGCAATGTACTCGGCTTCCGTCGAAGACAGAGTCACGATGCTCTGTGTCTTGCTACCTCCACCCGTCGTCGCCAACCCTGACACCGAATGCTTATCCTCCGTGTCGGCGTAGCTAGCGTTTACGTACACGGCCAGCCGTAACCCCGATCCCTGTTGGTAGGTGATGCCGAGGTCCCTCGTCCCTTGCAAGTAGCCGAGGATCTTCTGGATGGCATCCCAGTGCCTCTTCGACGGGGCGTGGGCGTGGCGCGCTACCGCACGCACGGCGAACGAGACGTCTGGACGCGAGAATGTTGACACCCACATCATGCTGCCGATGACCTCCCTCACCGGCCACTCCCCTCCCTTCTCGTCATCTCGCTTCGGTCCTAGGTCGGCAACAGGGGTAGCGGGGATGTGGGAGGTCGATTGCACATCAATGCGTCTTACCATGCTATCAATGTACGCGGTTTGGGAGATTCTAAGAGTTCCAGCCTCTACATCTTTCTCAATGGCGCACCCGTCAAATCATTCGCATTCTTGTTGGGAAAATCTCTTGTTGAGAGAAGCAAGCAACTCCTCGCAATCCTCGTCAGACCCAGCCACCAAAATGTCATCCACGTAGATCACGATAATCATCACGACGACTTCGTCTACCATCTTGCCGAAAACACACGGGTTCGCCTTGCACTGCTCGAACCCGTTCTCGACTAGCGTATCAGCAGCGTGGGGCTCGACGCTGACGCACCGCCCTCGCCTGTAGCACTTGCGCCACGTGAAATACCGCCGAGAGCATTCAGCGAGTGAACTCCTCCGTGCTGCTGACGGGCAGGCTCGCCACCGAAGCGAGCAGGGCTTCGGCACTTGTCGGCGACGGGCGCGACTCGTACCTCGAGTTTCGGCGAGGATTCTCCCTGGTGCGGCGGCTGGTTAGTTCCGCCGGCTTGTCGAAGCGGGCGACCCGCCGGGCCTCTGGCCCACGGAGCGCCGGGAAATCCGTCTCGCTGTCGCTGCCGCTGCTGCTGTCGCTGCCGCTGCCGCCGCTACCGCGGCTGCTGCTGCTGCGGCGGTCGTCCTCGCCGCCGCCCACATCGGCCGTGCCGGTCGACGTGGTAGATGGGGCGACGCTCGCGCCCTCCCTGCTCGAGGGGGCGCCATCGCCAGCGTCGCCCGCGCCCGACTCCTGGGGCGCGGGCGGCCCTGCTGGCCCCGGGGCTGCCGTCGTGCCAAGTTTGAAACCTGGTCCTCCATCCACAGGTACTCCCTCCGCCCTCCCTCAACCTTGGCTCGACGCGCCCTCCCCAACCTCGTCCTCCCCAATTGCGAATTCCTCTTCCTCCTCTGCGATGGAAGGCAGCGACTGGGCAGGGCGGTGGGCGCAGCGGGTACGGATTGCCAGGTGAAGTTGCGAGTTGTGATCGCTTGGCGTTTTTCGTTCAAGATGCACACGCAATCACGGTTGGTGTTGATTCCCGGGCCGAGGTAAAAACACTTGTGGGCTTTCGGCTCGGACTTGTGCGTGCGCTTGTCATGCGATATGTCAGAAATAGTATCGGTATTGTTCTACTCCTTACTCGCGCGCGGTGTCCACGATTGGTAAACATCTGATACAGCGCGTACCGATAGGTCGAGGCAATCAATCATAGCCGCTCTTCATGGTCCATACTTTCCGTGTCGATTGCCACGACTTGGGCTACCAGGCACTTCTAGCGACAGTTCTCAACTGGGCGTACCTCTTGATGTCTGCATGCACTTTCCCCCGGCTTGCTTAGCCCGGACTGCGGAAAGCAAGCACCAAGCAGAGGGAAACAGAATCCCCTGGTACTACCCGACCTTTCTTCCCGCTCAAACTCCCCCCCCCAAAAAAAAATAAGGTGCATGTGATGTGTTGGTTCTCATTTCCAAGATATGTGTATCCACTTTTCCTTTCACACATTTCCAAATATGAAATATACAACACCCACGATATTGGCCCCGACCCAATGCAGAACGTTTTCGAAGATCACGGCGAAAGTATGCAGGGCTGGTTGGGCCTACATGTTTGAAAAAAAATGAAAGTTGATGTTTGCAGAAGCTATGTTACCAGAGGGAAAATTCTAAGCTTTGACTTTGTGTTTACAGGGCAGCCCCGATGTTGCGAAGAAGATTTCGTTAGTGTTCATCATCACAGATGTGAAAGGAGAGTGCATGTACCTCATTATGCTACTTCGTGTATCGACACCTGGAGAAAAGCGAGTAGACTTGATATCGTTACCTCAGAGGGTGGTGAGCGAGCGAGGGGTTCATGTTGTTGCCTTCACATTTCAACCGTTCCGATCTCAGCTCGAGTAATGTTTTTTTCATCCGTGCTGACCCTAACCCCGCTAATGACCGAGGTACAAGACAAACGCCAATAAACTGGGTACGACAGCACAAGAAGCGGAGACGACAACGTCTCCCACGTTGGATATCTCGAATGCCTTGTGAGTATCGCGAACCTCGGCGGCCGCCGGGCCTAGGTAACGTCCGGGCCAAGTTGGCGGGAACCATGTGTTTTCGCCTACCTAGCGTTCGTCCGAGTTGTGACACAAACAACAGGTCAATTCCAGCATCAGCCCTTCCCACTCCTCCGGCTCCCTCGGTGCCTCGATTGTCCCTGCGAGAGTTACCTTCAGGCTATTTCCCCGGGTCCCCTCTTGCGCTCGATCCCATTCACTTGTTCAGTAGCACGAAACACTAAATTCAGGTCCTTCCCAGACGTCTTTGGCCACCTGGGCGTTTCACACGAGAAACGCATGACCCCAGGGGAACCGAAGGCCGACTGGTACCTTCAAATTGCTGCGTTTGGAATTGTCTCGTTGAAATTGCGGTGGTGTTGGGGAAATTTCTCCCCGAGGTTTGGAGCAACCTGCGCGGACTGTGTTTGATTAACCCTCAAGGTGGTTGCGCTGTGGAACCCATGCCACGGACGGGTACAAGTATTCCACTGGCAACGTAAGTAGAGGAACTGACGCCAATGTTCATGGGATTGGCAGGTTCCTGTACCCCCACCGGAGTTTCTGGCATGTGCACATTCCCTACCCGAAAACCAAAACGTCCCCTCCTTGCAATGCTTGCGTGATAAAAACCTTCCAACATGGGATGCTAAATCAGGAACGGTATTATTCATATTCGGTGAAGGCGATGCAAGCTCAAACGGGAATACGGGAATCGGTTTTCACGTCATTTTTCGCCTGCCCTTTCTCCTCGCTCCTCGCCCCAAAACCAATATATCAATCTGAGTATACCAAAAAATTTCGGACTGATTTGGAGAAAGCACTCAAACGTTGTCATTGGCCTCTTCAACTTTTCTCAGAAAATGCTCTTGTGGCGCGGACGACAAGGAAGAATGAGCCAGATTGGCGGACGGTATGGAACCCCCTACTTCGGCAATGAAGAGGGACTCGTCCTGCAGAGTTGGCCGGTGGCGCTCTCTAATGCAAAAAAAAAAACATGTTTTTTGCGGGTTGTGTAGGTTCTGATCAAACATAAGAGGATCATTCGGAAGAGCTTTGACATGAACAGGTCCACAACAGTCAACCTGCAGCAGATGTTACCGGACTGTACGTGAGTATAGAACACGTGGGCATGATATTCGTACTGCCGCCGGGGTTTGCCTCCTATTGCGAATGAACTTGCTCCAACGTACATCGACGCTGAGCGTGCGATGAACGTTACCGTATTTTCCCTCCAAGGTCTGTCGTCAAGGTGTTCAAAAGAACTACCAGCACCGATCCAGCAAACTATCGTGTGCAGACGCAAAAGTCCAAGAAAGTGGACTTCAAGTCCACCGTGGCAACCCTGCTGGATTTGGGCCTCGCTCTCGATGCAGGTACGTGAGCAGGTTGGTCTCGAATCAACATTTTCAACACTTTGTGCATAACGTTCCCCAAAACGACGCGCTGCTGTGATGCAGGACATTGTAGACGATCACGATGGGTTTCGTACAGTGTTTGGCCCTCGGACAATGTCTAGTAGAGTGTGACACCGATCGATTCTACGATGACTCGTTTCCCCCCGATTCCGATCAGGCGGCGAGTGCAGAGGAGGAAGATCTGGAGCGCACTTTCAGGCAAGGGGGCGTGCAAATTGGCTATAGAAAATTCTGTAACCCTTTTACACTCTGGTGAAAGTGGGGATACGACATGCTAAGGTGGTAGACTTGGTGCTCCTCTATGCCCGTGTTTTTCAACCGGAGACGAAACTCCACACGGGTAAGCACTTTAGAAACCAGGGCCAGCTGTTAGGACCGAAAAAACTACTTTGAATGTAGCTCTCTGATGTCACGACAGGCACCGACAAGGTGGGTGTCAGAGCATTGGAGAGGGGTAACTGTTAGCGTATTGTTGCAGTAGTAGACGTGTCGTGCTAGCGACGGCGGTGGTAGCGGTACGTTTCTGCTGCAAATGGACAAACCAATCACAAGTAGGTCGGGGAATCCGTCCGTTCGTGCCCGAGCGGTGGGCCAAGGAATTGCGAGTGCAGCACACACGGGTTCTGTCAGGGATCACTCACGGTGGTAACAATGAAGCAACATACACAGGTCCTCCCCGACCAACACGTACTGGCACAGCATAGTAGTATCGATACACCGATAACATGATGAACGCCGTAAGCGTGGAAATCCGCACATGCACGGGATTTCCCACATGCGACGTCCCGGCGGGCATGGATGCTACCGCGCGTTTTTCCGAGACGTTGGAAACTGGGTTCCGGAAGATGGTTTTGAGCAAACATCCAAACCCGAACGTTTTGAGTTGGAAAACGCGTAGTGCCAATAAGAGCAAGGGAAAGCGTTGTGCCATTGGTATAGAATTTGTGGTGCCTGGCTGAGAGAAATCTCGCCATCTCTGTTGGCGGTTCCGGCGGTGGCGGTAACCATCCGTCCGAATCTGGTGGTGCACCATTCACGACCTACAGCGGAACCGCGACACGTGGTACGAAATCCATCGATGTCGGCGAGAAGAGGCGAGAAGGACCCGCCTATCAACGGCTGATGAAGTGCACCACCTCTCGTTACGGCGACTATGACACCCGGAACGCGAGAGATTGCGCCAGCAAGGCTCGCGAAGAACTCCAACAGGACGAGAGACGTCGCTCGACATCATCTTGGGCATGAGGTACGTACGACACGCCTACCACGTGGACAAACAGTGCTTTCACATACGCGTTGCATCAACCTGTTGTGCCCCCAGTGGCGGGCGTGTCTTTCTGCCGACACATCGTTCTCCTCTCTTGACGCTCCACCTGCCCTTCCTCTGTTGAACAGGTTATGGAGGTCTCGAAGTGGTATGTCGATACTGCTCACAGGTGGGGTGTCCTCCCCCCACTCGCACCCCCCCTTATCTCTACCTAATCCACCTGGTCGACCTATGCAAGTTGTGTTGGCACCCAGCTATCCGTGTCCGCTACCAGTGAATGCGATCATACCAGTA